TCGAAGCTTTTCAATATCTCCATTTAATCGTCACTTCCGCCTCACGATTTGATATCGATCAAAATATTTTTAATTTATTTTCATTCCCTTTTACTCGTTAAAGATATCATTCCGTTCGAAAGGAATTAGTTATTTTTTTTTTTTTTTTTTTATTAATTTCTTCCACAGATTCTTCCTTGATAAATGAAATGTTGAAAGAACTACCTAATTAAACAGTTCTAGTCCAGTTATTTGATTATGAATGAGCATTATATTAATCTTTGTCCGATGGAAAGTAATGATGTGTACCTTGCTAGTGCGTGTAAGGCCCGAGCATTGTTCTTTTTTCTTAACGGCCTTTCGTGTTCGCTGTTTCTTATGAAATCTTTTGAGATCTAGTAAACCAGTTAAATGGGATGACCTAGTAGATAGTTCGATTGCAAAAGCTCCTGCACTGGAAACTTCTTGTGGATTGCGTAAGGCATATACGAAATAGACCTCTCGAGAATCATCGATGATCCTTCACTCTGTTTCTCACGCGTTCTTGCGTATCTCACATTGCATATACATGCAAGTATGTACGTCGTTTATTAGTAGGTATCTACTTTTAATGAGACAGAGAAAGAGAGAGAGAGAGAGAGAGAGAGAGAGAGAGAGAGAGAGAGAGAGAGAGAAAGAGAGAGAGGGAGGTTAATTTTCTTTGGAAAAATGAATAATTGGTTTACGAAATCATTTCATCTAATAACGTCATCGTAAAGAATAAACAAGATTGAGAAAGAAAGAGAGAGAGAGAGAGAGAGAGAGAGAGAGAGAGAAAAAAAAAGAAAGACAGAGAAAGATTGGCATCGTTGAGGTTTGACTCAGTAAAATGTGTGCCTTTATTAATTTTGTCAAAAGATCAACGTTCGCGCAGGCGGCAGAGAAACTAAGCGAGAAGGATTTGGCGAACGTTCAAGTGCCGTCAAGATTCAAGACGCGTGTCCCACTTGGCAACTTTCACTTACGTTGCCGTAAGAGGTACAAATAACTACGAAGAGTTTCGAATATGATGGAAAGAGAATCTTCATATTTTTTTTTAAAAGATTTTCATTTACTACGAATTATGATCATAGACAATATATATACATATATATATATATATATATATATATATGTATATATATATATTACGTAAAAGGAACGAAACATATTTCCTGGATATAAATAATCATTAAACTATCTTGAAAAAAAAAAGGAAAAGATTTAAACGTAGTCGATGATAGTCGCTTATGGCGTTTATAAAAGTATTGTAATAAGAAAGGAAATAAAGGAAACAAAAGAAGAAGAAAAAGAAGAAGAAAAAGGCAATCTCTATAAGTTATCAAAGACAATGATTGTTTTATCATGTACCTGTCGGCAGAGAAAATGGATATGGTGATATCGTATGATTGCATAATTTCTATTAGCAGAGAGTTTCGTAGAAATCGAAGTGGTATTGCGTGTTAGAGAGACGATACCGATTCTCTGTTAAAAATTCTTCAAATAAGCAGTTATCGAGAGGATAGTTGTTCCTTTGCCGGGAGGGAGCTCCGCTCCTCATCGGTGCTGCGCTGCTGCGCTGGATGTAACGTAACTGTTGAAGAGTGAAAGTGTTGCAAAGTGGGACGCTGTAGGAAACTATGCCTCCATCTTATAATTAATAAAGTAAAGCAACAAATAAAACCTTTTCATTCCCTCTTCCCCTCACGTTCTTCCTTACCACCTCTCCCATCTTCATCTCCACCTCTTATACACTTACTCCCTTTACTCGTACCATTCTACATTGGGTGATTTTAAACAAGCGAACGATATTTCCGCAATATTCGTTGATAATCGTATAAATCAGATCGTGTATTTCCATCGACTATGAAGATGATATTTTTATCTGAAAGTATGCGTCGGATCAGAGCGTTCTCTTTATTTTTCACTTTTTCCCCACCTCGTTTAAGATTTTTCATTTGATTGACGAGTTAAAAAATTTCCTCCTATATAATAAATTGCCGTCGAACGATGTTTTATCGTTATATACATGCTTCCTCGTCAAGTATCGATAGTTCTGTAATAAATTGAAGAAAGTAAATATTATGTTTCATAAGGAACGTTTAAAGAAATTTAAAAAGAAATTTTTCACGTAGAATATATTCAGAATGGAAAAGTTTTCTTTAACTTATTAATGAATAATTTGAAACGTTTTAAAGTATATATTTTGTCATGTTTTACTAACGACGATCTTATTTCGTAATAATACGAGCCACAGAATTCCAGAGTCATATTCTAAGATATCATATAAATTCCATTTGAAAATGAGGACATTGATGATCTCGAATAAAAAAATTTTAAACTGATGATCCTTCGAAATAATTCTATGCGTCATCTTTACTAGTTAACTCCGTCGCTCCGTCGTTTTGATATTAAGCGATAATAAAACATGAAGTAAGTTTACAAATGCGTATTAGAAGACATAAAGAAATGAGAGATCAGCGGTTAAAGTAAAAAAGAAAAAAAAAAAAAAGAAAAAAACTGATGAGTATATATGTATACGTATACGTAAAAGTGCTTACATACCACAGTTGTGAAAGTGAAGCTTAAACATCTTTTTCTTTTTTCTTTTTTTTTTCTTTTTTTTCTTTTTTTCCATTTTATACAAGTCGACTATTTTGGAGATAGTTCACCTTATATATAGGCAAATGTGACCGCCTTAGATGACTACTTTTCTTTAATAGAGATGACCTGAAAATTGAAATTTCTGTGTGAAGTAAATATATTTAAAGGATGCCGACCATTTTAATCTTTAAATATAAAAAAAAAGAAGATATTATCGAAAAAATATAAAGTTATCCTCTTTCAATTTAATATCCAATATTAAACGATTATTCGTTTAATATTGGATATAAATAAATTTCGACTCTTAAATCGAAATTTTTATCAAGTTATTATATAAATATATATCTTTTAAATCAAAGTTATAATATTTTATATAGTTATAATATTATTAACATTTTAAAACAATGTTAAATCGAACAATTGTTTTAATAGACGCAATATCATATTCTATTCTATTTAATAATCTTATTATGTTTCTCTATGCGTAATACAGAGTGCGTTGTATTACGTGTACATGCATATATATATGTCGATAATGTAGTTTTTAAGTACTGTGTCGGTAATTATCGACGTATTATTTAGTGATGCCTATTTTGACGCATCGTCTTTTACCTTTATTCTCTTCGTTGATATTTATATAAATAATTATAGATAATTAATAAATGAACATTATTAATTACATCATTTTGCATATATACATATATGTTCGTGCTTTTCTGGAAAAGATGAAGAATATTATTTCATATTTCTTTTTTCATATATTGGCAACACTGCGTAAACAAATCGATATACAACGTTGTATCAAGTATAAGTGAATTGATTTAAGAGGTTAGTTTCTTTTTTTGTAACGAAACAACATGAGTTTTAAAAAGATAAAAGAAATGATAGAAGAAGGGGACGTTATTATTTTATATTTAGGACCTGGTAATATGCATTCGTTGGAAGTGACACCGAAAACTTTGAACAAGAAGGGTGTTATGGTAGAAAATGTTTTTCAAACAATCTATGGGGCGCTCAAAGTAGTGTCCCTTATCGGTCAAAAATATGGTACCAAAGTACAATTGTCCAGAGGATGGGGATATGTATTACAACCTACTCCAGAGCTTTGGACTTTAACTGTACCGCATAGAACACAAATCATTTATAGTCCAGACATAAGTTTAATTATACACTTGATGGAACTTTCACCAGGGCAAACAATCATTGAGACAGGTTGAGAAAGCAGCTGAACTTTAATCCTTGCATACATCTAATTCTCTAATCTGTAATTAAAATCCCCTCCCCCCACCCCTCAGGCTAAAGTAACTACAGGCTTAAGCAAAAGCTTCGAAAAGCCTACTCTTGGGTACATTTCTTGAACTTATTTCATATATTTTTCTTCTGTATTTGATATTTGAAACCTATCGCAGTAAATTGAACAATTTATTGTTGTAATTTTTACTTAGATCTTTTTACTTTTTTTTTTTTTTTTATTATTATTATGAATCAAATGATAATATTATTAATCTATCGAAAATATATGAATGTAATATAATTTTTTTATATATTCAATTTTTAACTTATATCATTGATTATATTTAATTCTTTACATTTTAGGTACTGGAAGTGGTTCTCTTTCACATGCACTAATTCGTGCCGTACGTCCAACTGGTTATCTTTATACATTTGACTTTCACGAACAGCGTGTAAATATTGCTAGTGCAGAATTTAAGAGGCATGGTCTTGATGATTATGTTACTGTAGAATGTAGAGATGTTTGCGCTGAAGGTTTTGGAGAAAATTTGGAAAACAAAGTGGATGCGATATTTTTAGATTTACCGCATCCATGGTTAATGATAAAGCATGCGATAAATGCTTTAAAGATATCAGGTAATATGAAAATATAATTATTTTTATCAGAAATTATATGGAATTATATATTTGATTTTTATTCGATAGGAGGAAAATTGTGTTCATTTTCACCATGTATCGAACAAGTTCAAAGAACTTGCGCCGAACTTACATTAGAAGGTTTTATTGAAATAAATACCTATGAATGTTTGCAAAGAGAATTAACTGTACAACATAAAAATTTACCTGTTTTAAATTTGGACTGTTTAAAATATAAGGTATCAATTGAAATCATTTAATAACACTGCGTTATATATTAATGTCGTACTTCATAATACTTTTTTGTTCTATATATATATATATTTTATTTTATAGCAAGAGTATGAAAAAATGAAACAAGCAAATGTAAAGGACAAACAGGAGCAAGAAAAATTTTTGACTGTAACGCATGCTCATTCATTGCCTGGTCATACAGGTTTTATTACAATTGCAACATTATCACCGTTACATGCAAGATCACTTAAAGAAGAAGAAGAAGAAGAAGAAGACAAATTTTAATGGAAGGAATA